CATTTAATTTTGCGGCTTAAGCTGATGTTACATGAGATGGTTATATTCTGTATACGGGGAAACTGAATACAACACAGGATTCGACATCACGTGTTTTGCGCATGAATATTGCATTCCTGTCAATCAAAGAATCCCGAAGTGGGTACAGAACAAAACTCCGGGCGCCGCGGTAAGTTCGCCAGACCGTTTTTCAGCGTCATCTCAAAGTAGTCTAAAATGCTCACCTTGGTGCGATTTTAACAAGGGATTTTTTTACGAATTTCGGGCGAAGGCGATCGCCGTTGGACCAAGGCGAGCAAAATGGGTCACCGACGGGGGTTTGAGGCGCACTTCAGCACACTTTTGTTCCTCCTTGTAATAACTCCAACGTCGATTTTGCAGCTCACGGGTGAGTCTTCCTCTGCCGCATTTCCACTGTCCTCTCATTTTCCTTTCGTGCATGTGTTTAACGGACTGATTGTTTTTGCGCATTTTGTGTTTTAGATAATTTTCGATCGATGCCCCCGGTGATATATTTTCTTATCGTTCACTAAAAAATACATTTACAAGGGATTAATCAGTTCGGGTACACGGGTATAGTTAATTAAACGGAAAAGGCCCGACGCCACACACTGGCTCGAGTTAATTTGATTTTCAGTTCTATTTTATTTGTTCTCCAAATCTTGATTCAAATTAGTGAACCTGGCTTATGGCCAGCTATGCCAACGCCTTAGACTATGCAACCCATCCCTAACAATAAGCTCGTGCGGGTTGCAGCGCTATTACAGCGGCAGCTCTTGCCCTTGAAAGGACTAGGGTATTAGGATGAAAGTGGCAAAAAACAGGTTAAATCATTGTTTCTGTAACCCCCACTTAGAACAGTACACATCAGATAACATCATGGTTAATTGATTCAAATATGTTTTCAATGCAGTTTCAAGACTTGCAAGGTTCTGATATTTGGTTTGACAAGGAAATAATGGTATTTTTAAAGCATGTAAATGAAAAGACACCTTACACTTTCATGCTGTTTCTCAAAATCAAGTATCAATAATGCAGCATTATAATTGTTTTCAGGAAAATGGTTATTCACCACTTCAAATGTGTTGCGTTGGTAAAAGGTTTGAATTATACGGCGTTATATATATGTATCACCACTCCAACCTGGACCAATTTCACGCAGCCGCTGAACAGTCACCAGAAAAGTGATAATTAGTGTTGCTAACCTCAACAACAATTTCCTGGCGGTGTATGGCCTGGTTGTACTTACAGTTGCCTGTCCATAGAGACTTCCCCTGTTTTGTCACTGCGTTTAGCCAACTATTCCTGCAAGGTAAGCGTGCCCTTTTCCGTGCGTATTGTTTACAGTCTTCATGAAATAAACAGACCGTCTGTTTGCGAAAAATCGTGTGCTTAGCAGCGCTGTGAACTTGGGCCCTGGTTTTGAAACGGAGTTGATGACATTAATGATTTTCACGCCTTTAAGAACTCTGGAGAACTTACCTAAGCACAGGTACACCTTCAGTGGATCCTATAAAGCCCAAAACAGCGCTGATGCATTTGCTTAAAACTGGATTTTCAGAATTTCTTTTTCTTGTCCAATTAATGTTTGAAGAAAATGTGTCCTTTGCGACTGACAGGCCTCGTTTCACTTAAGACTTCGGTGTAAGTTGCGTACATTGCTGTCAAGATTTTTAGATGTTCAAACTAACTTATTTCTGCAAAGTGACTGATGTTGAAGCAGTTTTATAACAAATCTGTTTAAAAGCCATTAAATAAGCAAAATGTGTTTGGGTGAAAGGGAGACACTGCGGCGCATTCTATTTCTTGTCTTTCAAAAATGTTAGAAAAGGTGTAGTACGCGTCAGGATTTAGACTTTGAATTATACTTTGAATCAACTCAGGCTGACGGCATCCCATATTAAACGGTTGAGGTGATGTTGGCCCACTGGAAACAGCACTACAACCTCATTTATAAATAACCATACAAGTACTATGCCCTGCCCTTACATCACTACACAAGCAACAGTTCAGGGTTATTACTTATGCACTAACCATGTCTTCCCTACATCACAGCAACACCGCCCTCAGCTGTCCGAGAAAGCATGTATAATTTTAACTGTTTAAAAACATACACTTTTAAATGCATTTAACCAAATAGGGAAGTTACAGAGATTTCATACACTGAAGAAAAATGCAAAGTTGAAGAAACATGGTGTCTAGGAGAAATCCATTGCATCTACACTTTAATTGTGACTGATGCGATCAGTTAATGTACCGGAGTGCACTGGAGACGCCGCTAATTTATCCGGCCTTGCACTGGCCTTGTATGCCTCATAAAATAACTACCAGAATCAGCTTTTGTGCGTCGAAATTCAAACACAATATTCTCCACCGTCCACTGACCCACCATTTATCTTCCTGCGCCAACCTCAACATTACTAATGACACAAAGATCGGCAGCATCTTCCAGATATACGTACAGGGGAAGGGGGTTGGGGCCACTGTGTACGCCATGCATACAGGGGAGGGGGTCTGAAAAGTGCGCTCGTACTTCATGGACGGCCCTTGTCTGGTTGAAGGGGCAAAAATTGATTATTATTGGGAGTCAAGATTGTATTTTCATGTCAGTGCAAGCTCGCTTGGTTTTTTATTAAGTTCAGAAATCGTTTTGGATCCACGATTAGCGTTTCGTTTCAATTTTGAAAATTTGAAAAAAAGGTTTGTTCTCATTGGCATGCAGTTTACTGTATCACCTGTCAAAGAAGTTCAGATACATAAGTTACAGTTTCGTAGCCTCTTAGAGGATAATGTATCGTTTTAAAATCTTGTTACATGTCCTAATTGACTGAATTAACACTGTGCATTATTGCTTTACAAGATTTGGCAGAGATAGTTAAAGTTCAGTGCCACAGCCAAAACCACAATATGGAAAGTTCATCCCCTAATTTATATTTTTCAGAGTCAACCAGCACTCCAGAACCAACTACCACACTGGAACAAACCACTCTGGCACCCACCACCACCATGGACTCGACTACAACTCCAGAGCCCACAAGCACTTTGGACCTGACCACCAAAGACTCGACTACCACCCCCGGTGAGTGATTAATTGACGCTTTTCCATATGTCATTAAAATGAAAAGTCAAAAAACAAACACTTTTTCACTTTCTGAGTCAACCTTTATTCCAGAAAATAGAGAAAAGAAAATATAGATATAAAAAGTGGAAAAGAAATATTACAAGAAATATAATAAAAATCCAATAAATAACACTTATTAAACTGACATATATAGTTGATTTCCATCCGTGTTCTTATTGTCCCCGACAAGGGGCAATATTTAAAGTCTTGTTCAAAATACTATTGTTGTACCTCACATCTTAAGAAGGGGTCTCACATTTTAAGAAGGAGGACATTTAGTGTGGCTCAGGTATAATCAAAAATAGAATAGCCAAGTGCTTTTATCACCAGTGAGATAAAAAAGTATACTTGTGATTTAATTTTTTGAGAAAAGATTGTAAAGTCATTTTGAGATTGAAAATAATGAAAGTGAATAAAATTTGCATTTGACGCAGAATTTTCCAAACGTTGAGAGGGTCGGTAATGAATGACAGTGACAATTGAGTGATATTATGTGTCATTGGCCTGAATTAATAGTTGCGAGGCACATAACGATGAACCATTTCGAAGCCTATTAGTCCAGTGATCACCCGATAAAAATAAACATTTTGGAAGATCAATGCAATTCTAATCTAAATCGTACAATTTCCCAGATCTGCCCAAATTAGCTCCAAAATTGCGTAAGACGCCTTTTAATTGGATGGGTGGTGCAAACGAGCTATGGAATCCGCGAAAGAAACGTGTTTTTCTATATTCACATGCACAAGGAGAAAGACAACTAAACAGACGATCGTTTCGTTGTACTCAGAAAAGGAGGACAACATAAACGAAACAATATGATGAAAACACGTTAGAACAGTTAGGTTTTAATTTGTTGACCCCAAACATCATGGAGAGATGCGGCTGTAAACACGGTGCATCTTCACATGCAACTTTCGTAGTAGTTGAGGCATGCTCAAAATGTAATGTGCTTGCACGGTTCTTGTCCACTACGTTGATTGTTCTGTACATGTACATCAAGTTTAAGTGCATAATTTATTGTGTTTTGTCATAAAATAAAACCTACCCCGGTCTTGTACAGTTCAGACAGGAGTCTCGTACACTTTACGGCTTGGTCTCGAGGTTTCCGTGCAATAATGCGTAGAATCGATAGTTCCCGCACAACACATTAGGGGTAGATTGTAAACCTTCCCGTTAGTCGCAGAAAGGTAATAGGCCTATGCCAAGGATTTTTGGAGGACTTATTCGACAAATATCCAGTGTCCGCAAGAGCACTTCGAATTTAGCAAACCGACGCCTAAGTCTGGCCGACTGAGTTGTGTTGCAGCTGCCGGTGTACGGTGCTGTGCTGCTGGACCACCGCCAGTTTTGTTTTCTGCCACAGCAGCCCCGCAAAACTGACAGGTTCTGTGCCGTCGTCCTCATTCATCAACGAGTAAATTATAGTCACTCTCACAGGAGTTGAACCCACTCACTTTAGCGAGAAGAAGCAGATTGTTTATCTTTTTTCCGACACATTGTAAATTGCCGACTCAGCAACAAGCACACACATGGGTTGCTGTCTTTTCTAAAAGTTTCACATGTACACTCATACAAGGTAGCCCGCGATTCAGCCCAAGATTCAGGTATACATGCATGGGTACTCCTATACAGGGTTTTCCAGATAAAAACAAGCCCTGAGGAAAGGGGTTGATGTGCCCAAACCATGAGATATAATTACAACGTATAAGGATCTCCGAAAAGTAGAAGCAGTATTCTTTCTAATGATACCTTGATGGTATCCCTCCTTTCATGCATGACTGAACACCATTGTCTTGAAAATGGGGCATCCAAACTCAGTTGTAGCACTTTGGATGAACCAGTTTTTTTCCCTTTTTTTTCTGGGACACCCTGTACTGGCTGCGTTATTCTCCGTGGCAGATGAATAGGTTTGTTGCCACTACACTTGAACACGAGTGCCGGCACTCTCACATGTATGCCACGCAAGTTACGCTCCACTCTGCACCTTCAACGTTTCGGAACAAATCTCACAAATATTTTGACTAAGAGAGCTAAGAGTAAGATTTTAGATTTATGCTCCGTAGAGATTAATGTATAATATTGTGCGTTTTCCAGTTTTCATGCATTTTCATGCATACCTGTTGTGCCTTTCTCCCCTATAAGTCATCAACCCAACATAAACACAAAATTTGATCTCACGTGTTTTCGAAATCAGCCCAATTGGTTGTGGAGAGAAATTGCAATTTATCTTGTGTTGATTTTTGGAAGATAAAGTCATTTATACCGGCCTCTGGGTGGGCAATCTACCTCCCAAACTCTAGATGTTGCAATATTTGAAGCTTTTTTCCTATCTCTTCAAAATTGGAAAAAAATCAGACCAAAATTTGAATGGTGTACAGAATTTGTGTGGTGTTTTTTGCTGTTTTGTGTGTATCCAAGTGACATGTCCACATTGACGGAAAATCCCGCGTAGTCACGGTTGAGTTCTCGTCATTAATTTTGTAGACGCGTCGGATCAAAAGAACAAAAAATCCAGAGAAAACACGTCAAAACTATCTGACACCTTCATCCCCAGTGTACTTACATCAATGTTTTGAAAACTTTAAATCTGGTATTTTATACCTTAGTCAAGTCAAAATTTGTCACGCAAACGTAAGAAAACCTTTTGGGGTGTTGGTAATATGAGACTTTCGCTGTTGGATTTTTTGAGTTTGTAAAAAAATCAATACTCTGAACTGCATGCGGTGAGTTATTTCATGTTTGAATGAGTTCCGCTGGTCTCAAACCACTTCTTTGTATGGTAGAGCTATTGTCTTCTCTGAAAGCGCTCAAGGGGAAGTTTGAATACTTTTGTTTACTCAATTCCAAATCTGTGGGCGTCGCTCTGTTAACATTTGAACTCAAACGCCGAGGTATATGTTGCAACTTGTTTGATTTAAACGGGAATTCGTCAATACTTACCAAGAATGCTATCAAATATACCTTGTTCCAGGGATACCCTCAACAACTTTCCACGCTGCTGAAAATAATTGGGTTTTCTATGGTGTAGCTTGAAATGATATATAAACCCTATATTCCTTGGTTTTGGAAGAGCAGTATTCCAGTTGATCACGCACTTAATCTTGGAGGAACAGTTAGTGTTAAGATATTATATTTTTAAAAAAATATAATAATATAATATAAATACTCGAGGTTGCAGTGTCCGAAAACCAAATCGAAGATGAGTTTGAATGCATGTTAATGTAACCGTTTTATTCCCAAGTGTCAGTTGGCACTTGGCTAAGTGTCAGGAGCACACCCTGCAAACGAGGCAATAGCGGACCCATTTCTTTCTTCGTAAAATTGGCTAAAAATATTGGAAAGGTGCAGCTTTATCGAGTTAAGAAGTCTGGCAAAGGCGTTTTTTTCATAGGAGATACTTTTTCTTACAGACCCTCTTTTTTTCCTGAGCAAGGATTACACCCAAACCAATTAACAGAGGCATATTGCATGTTGTGTCTTCTTCGTTCCCAATAATGTATTTATAATTTTCTTTGGTTTGGTCCGACAATCAGTTCAAACACTATTGAGTTGATAACATTTAGCCTGAAACGTTTCTTGTGGCTCTTTGAAAATACCCTCATCAGAGGATAAAAAAAAGGCTCTTACGGGAGAAATTGCCATGCCTTCCGTTTTAAAGACTAAGGCAGTTGCAAAAGATGGCATGGCGAAAGGCTGCAAAATGTGACATTATTGAAGCATTGTGCTGTGTTGGCCAAGGACAGACAACAGACAGAAAAGTCTCATGAACACGCTCTTGAGCAGTGAGGGTTGTTTCGTAGATTGCATGCGTCCACAATTTCAAGCATTTGCAAAATTGCCTAATGTTAGTGGAGAGGACTAATTGGGTTAAAGGGTATTTATAGCATGCATGTATCGCATTAATCTGCACAATCGAGAGTGTTATTTCTTTCACATATTTTTAGCACTGCTGGCTGGCACACAACGTTCACCTTGATTAAATAAATTCGTGCTGTCCATGTCAAGGCATTATTCCTTCTCGATTTGTCTAAGAAAAATAACCAATTGCCATATTCCATTAATTAGTTTTTTTTCAGCATAACAATGAACGACCCGGTAAACAAGCTCGAAAAGACATAATTGGTTCCTTTTTGGCAAATGTTGCAAAGCCCGTTTTTTAAATCAGAGAAGTAAAAGGATGAGTCCCCCCCACTACCACAAGAGGAGAACAAAAGTAACATCTATTCTATTTCCACAAGATGATTTATGGAATCTTTGAAATATAAAAACACACAGATGCAAGAAGGGAAGACTTAAAAGCAGGCCATAAATACCATCAAAAAATCAACTCGGAAAGTTCACAAAGAGCTGCACTGTTGTCAACAAGACTAGTCTTGTGATCTCTTAAAATCGTGTATCAATATTTTTAATAAGAATTAAAAAGTCGCAGATCTTCCAAAAATGATGCTTTATTTGCAAACTTGTCATTAGTTAAATTCAGTTTGCTATTTTGTTTTGAGGCTGCCATTATTAATTCAATTGTTTGATTAATTTGAGTTCATTTTAAGCTTGGGTATTTGAGTTTTGCAAAGCCATACAGTGAGATAAGTTCCCTGAAACTGCTGCTGAAACTAAAATTTGTTGGATTAAACTCACATTCATTTTAGATTGTTCCGAGTTTGGATCGTTTTCTCGAGTTTGATTTAATTAAGTTCAAGTGGATTTTAAGTTGGAAGTTTCACCATTCCTTCATTTCAATTAGTTCTTTGTACATATTGTATATAATTTCAATATGTTCACTTATCATTCTCAATTAAACTTTTTTCTTTCCGTTTTCTTTCTTTGAAGTTAAATTTAGCCTGTTTTGGTTGTTTGTTTGTCCGTCCGACTTCATGGGAGAAGTGGTCTGATCACGTTAGACTGTTTCAGGGTTACCAGTTCAAACTGGCGTACATCACTTTATTCATTACTTACTGAACTTCCTTGGCTTCCTTTCCGGAATAGAATCTTATTCAAGATGGCTCTTTTTGTCCTCAAATGTCTTCATTGCACAGCTCCTCAATACCTTTACAACCTCAGCGAATCTCGACCTGGTCTTCGATCCAATTGTAAAGACAAGCTCCTCTCAGTACCAAGATCTAGAAACACCTCCACGGATAAAGCCTTCATAATTGCTGGTACAAAGCTTTGGAACACAATACCATCAAGCATGAAATCAAAGGATTATATTAATCATGCAGGAAACACTTAAAAAACATATTTTTCCAGTATAGTTTCATTATCATGTGTTGCGCAGCACCATGATCTAGGTGAAATGGTGCTATATAAATCTTGCTTTAAATAATGATAATGATTATTATTGTTATTATTCGGAAGGGGCCTAATATACAGAAAACATTCCGTGCAGAAAATGATCGTACTGGTATGCTGGTCAGTGGCGTATCCAGGACTTGGGGGCCCAATTTGAATTATCTCTATGGATGGCTGTTCTTTTTTTTTCGGCCGTGGAAGAATCCCCATCCCAAAAGGAAATAGTTCGATTTCCGAAATGCTTCAGTCCCCCAGGAAATCAGTAAATGTCTTTTGCACACTGGAGCGAAAGACACGTCTGATGTTTATCTTTGGCCACTTGCAAGTTACTGACACTCGCCAATCAACAACCAGCATCCTCCATCATAATTTGCACGTGATCTCAGCGTCTAAGCTTCCCCATTCCATACCAGCCACTTGATCCAGCTGCACCCACCCCGCTCAAGAAGTTTCGTGACAACGAACACAGCACACTGTTTCAGACGTTCTGGCCTTGTCTCAATACTGGTTTTCGTTTGGGCCAACATATCTTGTTAAAATAGATATCTTACACGATTTACCCACGGACATACTTCTCTCTACTTAGTTCAGCATGATGCATGTAAGCCAAGGGACAGATTGTGTTGATCTGTTTAAATCAAATGGCATCCTCATGAAGGCACAGTGATTTAAGACCCAGACATTTCAAAATTGTCCCCTTGTATTATGCTTTTAATCAGTTCACCAGTGTCTAATGAGATAACGTTCACCTAAAATTATTTTGATTTTTAATAATTTTACCATATATTCTATTGTGCGTACCTTAGCTTTTTTTGATGAAAGGTAGACTTATCATAGTGAAAAAATCAACAAAAACCCTGCTTTCAAAAACAAAATTATATCTTCATATAGAAACCTTTTGATCATTTGTAGCTTAATAGACACTCTTTCAGCGGATATAAATTTGCTTTCGATAAAAATTAATAGAGTGCAGAAATTCGCGTTTACCTTTTACAGTAAATTATGAAAAGTACCAAACAAGAAAAATATTCATCGACATATGTTTGTTGATGCATTTTTACAATCGGCCATAAACGGCCAGGGAAAATATGTCCTGTTTATTCTAAAATTAAATAACTGATTAATTGACTACAAATATTATCAAGCGGAAAATTCGCGCAATTCATCATTGTGCCAAAAAAAATCAACTTAAGAGCCGATTTTTGTCTTGTTTACTTTAAGGCCCTTTTAGGTTAACGGTTAAGACATAACTTAGTTGACTTAGGAATAATCATTTGAGACAGTGTTCAACGCTTTAATCATGTAACTTCACGAACCAGGTTTTCATTTTTTGATCTATTTTCACTGTCTCGATTTTACTGTTCAGATTATTTTTCAAGTTATTTATTCAGATTATTTTGTTCAGGACCTTTAAGTGGCAGTAATAATTGACAGATACTTTCGGAAAATTATTCAGGATGAACTTTAGTGGTATATTGTACACATTTCATGAGCCATAACTTCTTTGTTGATGTTTTCCGAAATGAGTCGCTGCATAAATAGCTGACATCATTTTTGATTATGTACACATTTGCAGACTTACGTCAGAAACGTATATCCAGGGGTCAGACCGTTCCAAAACCTATTCACAGGCTTGGTACATTTAGAGCTTTACAGAGTTTAGCTTCAAAGTAAGGTTTTATTCTCAGTGGGTGCCAAGGTCCCAATATAACGTATTCAATGACCCGAAACATTTCCCTGTGCCACATAAGTTTCCCCTACAGACCTTCACGATCGTGGGAAAGGAGAACTATCGTTAAGCGTTCAGGTATTGACATGTAATGATTTGCTTTCAAATAACATATTTAGTCCTATGGTTTGGAACATCTTCTCTGGTTTGGGATATTTTTGTAGCTGTCCAGGGGAGTTCACTGGCACCAACTGTGAAATTACAGGTAATGTTAACCGTAAATGGTCCTTTATATCTCAGTTCAGTGTTGTGGTCTGTCAGTATTGTTTCAAGTACAGAAGATGTGTAGTTCGAGCACACTAGTACATACATAGCAACCAGGAGTGTCGCTAGAAATCGGCATGACACTTTCCGGGGGGAGGGAGCATTCAACAGCAGCAAACGGCAGTGTTGCAGTCAAGTCCACGACCTTCTAGTCTAAGGCTAGGCCGTATTCCTGGTCTCCAAGGCAAAAAGCGAGTCACTGCCATTTGAGGCCAAGGCCGGAGTGTCCAAAATCAAGACCAGTTATTACACATAGGCCTGCATGTACATGCATGACATTAATTTATACACTCAAAGGAGATTTTCCTCGACATATTTTTAGCACTGCTGGCTGGCACACAATTTCTTTCAGATTCATTGAAAAAAAAATTGTCGTCTGCGATAAAGCAATATCCTTTCTCGTTTTGTTAAAGAAAAATAACAGACTGAAATCTAGAACAAATTCAACTGAAAAACCGGCATTTCTGGGCAACGAGTCATCCACCAGCTAAGTCATTACTATAATCAGCCCACGTTGCCATGGAGTTCAGTTTTTCAGTGCCATGGAGCTCAGTGTCGTCATGAATGATGATGCTAAGTAAAACGTGCATACTAGGTGCACTCAGCCAGCAATCCTGCTCGTCTTTTGTATAGGCCTAAATTAGAACAACAGCTAGGCACAGGACAACTCTTGCTATCAATTTCTGTAGACTGCCAACACTTAATGTTACCCAATCAAATCCCCATTTTATGACAAGTCGTCCATCCAATATTAAACTTCAATTACTATCAAAAGGACGGTTGGACGCACGGATATCCATTTGA